ATTCCAACCCCTAAATTATATGATTCTCTGATTCTATGAAAAAAGACTTTCATTTGTAGCTATTTTCACACACACATTATAATTTCAGATCCTTATCTTTTAGAAAAGAAACATCTGTGTCTTGTCTCTGACAGAGACAAATATATGTACTTTTAATGTTTGAGAGAGGCTTCTGTAATGGTTTAAATGGAACTATTTCTTTATTTAAAAGTCCTATTTTTAGAAATGCTTGTTATGCAAATGCATCTTTAGAAGTGAAGGTCAGTTATGGAACGTGGTGACACTGATTGTTAGGACATTGTGCAGTCCAGAGCCGTGTACCAGCAGTTCACTTGAATATCCACTAGTTTTCATGAACAATTTAAAGGAGATGAATGTGAAATTGAAATTGCACCTGTAATAGGATGTCCCATAACATGATAAAAATTAAATGAAAAATTCAAATTTAACTTTTGAGACAGAGTGACTATATAGGATTTCACTCAAACCAGCCAGGAGTCTTGTGGGCACCTTAGCTCACTGTATGTCGAGTTTTCTATCCACCTCGTTGGTAACACCACTGAAGATTTTAGGCAGGACACAGCTGAGCTCGTGCTGTTCACTGCTGCCATCGTGTGTCACGGAATATATGGCACAGCCTCTCACCCAGCACCGCTGTACTTGAGGAATCAGCTCTGGCTTTACAAAGCCCCCACTGCACTTGTGTTTTAACAGGGAACTAACAAGAAACATTCTCTCTAAACCTGAGCCCTTGAAACTGGAGGAAAATGTCAGGGGAAAAACTCAGCGCTGTGTTGGATTGAGTGGCTAAATTGAGAAATTTCTCCAAGAAAAGACTTTCCTAATATTAAAATGACAGGCACGATTTAAAGTAATGGTTCTGTAATTCCATCTCTGCTATGGTTCTGAAGTAGAAGGATATTTTTGAGTTGGAAAATAAAAGGACTTCTAAACTCTTTTTATGCCAACTACGACAATTCTAACTGGGAATATGATTACGAGTGATATTTTCTCTGTGATTAGCAAACCAAGACTTAAGAGTGTGCAGTATAAGTATCTCAGTCTTTTCATTAAGACAGGAAGGTCTTGCCAAGGGGGTGAACGGTTTCCAGCACAAGGCAACCAGAGTTTGTTTGCATCTATGCATAATAATGGGCTCAGAGAACACCTCTCTGAAACGTTATTTCACGTACCTTCAAATGAGAGGGAAAATATTGTTTCTCCTAGCATAATTTCTCAAGAAAAATGGCACTTCGAGTTGAGCTAATTTCTGAATTTTCTTCTGACATGGATAATAAACTTAGAGTAGCTATGCTGTTATTTTGGGTGGAAGGTCCTGTTACCACCGGAACAACAGAAAACAAACAAGAAACTCTTTGGAATTTGTTTTGATCACAGACCTGTAGTACTGGCTATAACTTAATTTCCCTACCTTTTTTTTCCCCTTTAGATATTCGAATACCATTAATGTGGAAAGGCTCTGACCACTTCAGCAACAGAGAAAGTATGTAAGATGTAATGGATTACTCTGATAAGCAGTTGCTTCTGCCTGTAAATTTAAACTGAATGTGGAAGTCCATTCTCATTTCAACCCCTTCTTTGACCTTTCATTAGGTCCAAATTTCATTCTTTGTTGTGTAAATGCTCTTAACTTGAAGCTGTTTGTTGTAGCAAGTTGAGTTAGTACAAAGTCCTGTGCTCTTCTGTGTTTAAACTCTAGTCTCTAAAGAGTCCTCCTGAGGAAAATTTCGAGACGAGGCAACAGAAAATTATTATTACATAGATAGCTGTGAAACTCCTGATTGAACATGTTGTTCTATGTCCTGTCTATGCTCGAGAGAGTATACTGGAGGCTGTTTCTAGTGAGAAATTTAAATGAAAGTTGTCTGTTGGTGTTGAGTGTATTATTGGATAGTCCTCAAGTACATGCATTTTGCTGTGTCATGGAGATTAACCCCAAATCTGTTCCAGCTGTCACCTGGCATTGATTTCACTTTGATTTTCAATAGGGTCAGAGGGGCAAAGCATGGCAAAATAGTCTAATCCCACATAGTACATTCATAAAATGATACAGACTTTGGGTGGAATGTTAGGTTGTTTGGTTTGGAGTTTTTTGCATGAGATTAGTTTTATTAAACAAAATTACATTTTCACTAACATATTGGAAGTTGCTAGCACAAACTACACCAGATTCCTCAAATGTGTTTTCTGTTTCTCCTGATAGAGGTAGGTATTTCTCCCCCTGTGAATGTTGGTCTACCGATACAGCAGCTTTGATAGGTCAATTATCATAAAATCCTATGATGAAAATTTGTGGCAGGAAGAATTTGAGGGCAATTCCTTAGAGGTCTGAATTACCATGTCATATACTTTGTTTACTGTAAGCACTTGGCACTATGATGTGCAATATGGCTAACAAAACCTTTCTTTGGCTCTCTCCAGAATCGCAGCGCTACGCAGTTTTTTGTTTGTTGAGAATGGGAGCTGAGGTCTTTGATACTGAGCTGACTATTGTGGACAAAGCAATAACAGATATCTGTTTTGAAAATGTAACTATATTGTGAGTAGAATTTACCTTCATTGGATGAAGTACAAATATTGCTGTTTTCTTTGCAAAGTGAAAGTGATTTTGAATAAGATTGGCTGAGGTCCACTAGGTTTGGCTGTGGGCAAAGGAATCAGTAGAGGTTCTGTTTGTTTTGGTGGATCTCCACCACTAGGAGGCTGTTTTTGTGTACAGAATGATGCTGATTGTCGAGCTGCACTTGATCTGCCACACAGAAGCATTTTTCTTTATACAAAGAGGTAAACAAACTTACATTTCAAGGACAGAATGAAATTAATACTATAACCTGAAGGCATAATGAAAGTATGGGCATGAAAACGCCCAGTGTTTTAAGCAACGAGGCTGGTGAAGGGACTGGAGCACAGGAGAGGAACTGGCATGAGGAGAGGCTGAAGGAGCTGGGGGTGTTCAGCCTGGAGAAGAGGAGGCTCAGGGGAGACCTTCTCACCCTCTGCAACTCCCTGACAGGAGGTTGGAGTCAGGTGGGGGTTGGTCTCTTCTCCCAGGCAACCAGCAGCAGGACAAGAGGGCACAGACTCAAGCTCTGCCAGGGGAGGGTTAGGTTGGATGTTAGGAAGAGATTTTTTTCCAGAAAGAGTGCTCAGGCATTGGAATATGCTGCCCAGGGAGGTGGTGGATTCACCATCCCTGGAGGTTTTTCAGGTGAGACTGGATGTGGCACTTAGTGCCATGGTCTAGTAACCAGGGTAGGGTTGGACTCTGTGATCTTGGCGGTCTTTTCCAACCCAGGTGATTCTATGATTCCATGATTTCTGTGAAGTGTTATTCTGTGCAACAGGCTACAGTCTCTCTCTATACCTCATGTTCTGTTACAGCTATCTGAGCATGTGCATATCAGCAGTTTAGGTTCAATCTCCTGAGGGAAACTGGCTGGAAAGCTTGAACTACTGAAAACTTTAAATCGAGATCTTGAAAACTGAGTTTAAATCAGATTTTTAACTCTCTTAAACATTGTTAAAGTTAAGATTGGGGGCAGAGATTTTAATCTGCTTATTCAGAGAGATGAGTCTTGACCATTACAGTCTTTGCAACAAAAGCAGAAAAGGCACTTTAACGTGCCTTGTATCCCCTGAGATAAAGAAAGACTTGCTGTAAAAGCTTTTGGGGTGACTTTGCTATGGGCATCTGTGTAATGACATGATTTTTACCTGATGGATGAGGTTAGGCTTCTGGTTTGATGACTAAGTGCTGTGGTTTAACCCCAGCTAGCAACCAAGAACCATGCAGCCACTCACACACTGCCCCATTAACAGAACAGGGGAGAGAATCAGAAGGGTAAAAGCTAGAAAATCTCATGGGTTGAGATAAAGACAGTTGAATAGGGAAAGCAACAGCTGCACACACAAGCAAAGCAAAACAAGGTATTAGTTCACTGATTCCCATGGGCAGGAGGTGTTCAGCACCTCCAGGAGAAGCAGGGACCATCAGGAGTAACAGTTCCTTGGGAAGACAGATGCCATCACTCCAGATGTCCCTCCTTCCTCCTTCTTCCTCCCACCTTATACACTGAGCATGATGTCCTATGATATGGAATATCCCTTTGGTCAGTTTGGGTCACCTGTCCCAGCTGTGTCTCCTCCCAGTCTCCCATGCACCCCCAACTCCCTTGCCAGTGTGGCAGTACAGAAAGCAGCAAAGGCCTTGGCTCTGTGTGAGCTCTGCTCAGCAGTAACAAAAATATCTCTGCATTGTCAACCCTGTGCCCTGCACAAATCCTAAACATAGCCCCATAATAGCCACTGGGAAGAAAGTTATCTCTACTTCAGCCCAAACCAGCACACTAAGCTTGAGAACAAGAGAATCAGTGGAACTGGAAATGAAGAAAGGCTTTTGACAGGAGGATGCAGCAGTAGGTCGTTAAGTTAAGAATGACTGATTTTGTTAGACTAAGTGAGAGAGGACTTTTTTCAGTAATGGGAAGGGGATGGAGTGCAACTAAGATATCTTTAAAGCAGTTCAGTGTGATTTAGGACCATAGGCATAGATTTTCAGTCCTGTGTTCTTTGTGCAGCAGCAGAGGGCAGATTTAAGTGTGTTTGAATGTCTTGCCTGTGTATTTCCATAACATGGGGGTTTTTTTTAGTTTTTAACCTAAACGTTGAATTTCCTGTTTGTAATTGTTTATGGTTCAATTATAACATCCATCTCATGACTTCAGCACTAAGTTACTTCTGTATACTCTAGTCCTTAATTCGATATTAATGTATGCCTGTGCTTGAATCTTATGGCACTCCTTGCCTTGATTAAAAATATGTTATTTAATACATAAAGCAGCAGCATTCCTTGGCTGCACACTCAGTTTAGTAACAAACGCTCTGCAATTTTCTCCTCCCCCTCTTCAGTGATGAAGCAAGACCAGATTTCCAGGTGAAGGTTGAAGTGTACAGTTGCTGTACAGAGGAGCCTTTATATATAACAAACACTCCTAAGAAACTAGCAAAGAAGCTGAAAACATCCCTCAGCAAAGCTACAGGGAAGAAACTCAAAGCTGCACTGGAAGAAGACAGCACCGAATCCCTTTTGCCCCCTGACCCAGTCATCCAGTAAGCTCTATATATCAATATTGTCGTTTTGTAACTTTTGTAATAGAAATAAGCCAAATGCGTTGTAAATTTGTGGAAAATTGCCAAGAAACTGATTATTTTTGTACTTGTCTGAGTGAAAAAAAATTTACATTTTCAATAGGAAATGAGAAAGTAGGTGTGAATTCCAACTGTGTCGCTCGGCCTTGGGGTCTGGTTCTGATCTTGGAACACATGAGTAGGCTGTATCTTTCTGCTTCACAGCTAGCTAGCTGGTAAATCCACTGCTTTTTGAAACTCTAAAATAATCCTAGTTTGATCTCTAGGAGAAATAAAACCTGTACAGTCTGTCTGTGTCCCTCTGTCCATCTACCTCTTCCTCTGCCTTTCCCATTTGCTCTCTCCCCCATACCACTTTTGCACCAAGCCAGTTTTGGCTGTGCTTGACAGACAGCTCGACATGTCCAAAAGGTACAAGTTGTGTCAAATTAAAGTTGTGTTTGTAGGCAGGAGAAACCTCTCTGGTACCCTCTCCTCTACTTCCACTTGCTGGCTTTCCAGGAAAACTCTGGGCTGCCAAAGGCACTTTGCACTTACAAGCTACTCAACAGGAGATTTCTTAATTGACTTTCATGCAGAACATTTCAAAATGACCTACAGTTTTCAGTGTTCGTAGGTATAAATGCTGTTCCCAATAATTTACCTGTTTATTTTGAAACATGATCTTAAGTCTTTCATGCATCTTTAAATGAAGTTAATGGCGTACTAGTGTTTTCCAGCTACTTTAATTTCATTGGGATTTAAGCAGGCCAAATACCTAATTTGCAAATAGTAGTAATACTGTTGTTTGGGGTTTTTTTTTAGAAAGCAATATTTTTCAAGGAATGACTTTTTTTGTCAGTCAGACAGTAAAGAAACAATGCTTATTCTTGCCAGGTGTTGAGTGTAGTCTTTGTCTTGCTTCATATATCTATTTGCTGGGATTTGAAACAGAAACATTCAAGCATACCCTGTCAAACTGGTATTATTGTACACTGATATTACTGTTTGACTCAAAAATAGACATCCAAGAGATCTTATCCACAGAGTAAAGTGAATTTTATCACTAACTTTCCAGTGGGTTCCCCCTAATGACAGTGTGTTTTTCACTCTGCATCGTGTCAGGTGGCTGTGCTTTCCGCCAGCTTCAGCTGGGCCCTGACACACTATCATTAGACACAGTTTGAAGCAGATAGATCTAGATCCACTAGTTTGTTTGCTTGAATACAGATTGCCTGTCTTATAAGGAAGAAGCCCCAGCAGGCAATTTAAGCAGCTGCCTCCTCCCTTGGGTTTTGCTTGTGGTTTCTCAATTGAATTTTCCTTTCCTCCATCTTGGAAGTTTGTTGTTTCTGCTATAGATAATGTCACAGTGACTATTACTTTCTTAACAGAGTTAAATGAGAAATGATGTGTTTAATGATGGCTTTGCTGGGTGATTAAAAATAGTTTCTTGGAAAGAAATGGGTTGCTATGAGCAGAAAATGAGTTGTCAATTTTTTTATGGGCTCCCCTTAGGAGTTTTATTAGTAAGACCTTGGTATGTAGCCTTTACAAAGGGGAAGAGATTACAAGATTACAAGAGATCTTTCAAGTATTCCCAGAGAGTTTTACCGGTCCGACAGGGGAAATCAAACCGCAACAAAAAAGTGAACTTTCTGTATTATGTGAACCCTTTTGCTCTGCAGATTTCATTTGTACAAGCTTTTTTCTTTTTGAAGCACACATGAGTGAAATTCTCCATTTTCCACAAACTCTGTGATCCCTCTGTGTCACACTTCTTGGCTTAGAAAGCTCTCTGGTTAGTGAGGAAACTGTCAGACTTGTAAATTCTTGCAAAAACTCAGTGACAAAGTGCTTTGAATGGTCAGTTAGGTTGGTTAACTTGAGTTACACTGGTATGATCTCTTAATTATCTCTCCTTTAATTTCTATACAGTCTTTTGCCTGCTGAAATTTTCTATTCTAGCTTAAAAATTTTTTTCAGTTTATATTTATCATAGAAGAAAAATCTTCAGTGCAGTTATGCTATTGACTCCCAGAGTTGCTCTTTGGATAAATCATTGGAGAGTCTCCCTGAAGAGTGAATGTTTATTTGCTTGCAGGACTGGCCTACACATACCCTTGTTGTTGCATGTGTTGTCCTCCCCTGTGCTGAAGGCACAGCTTCTGTGTCCTGTGTTTGAACTGGCAAATTCCAGTCATATTTTGTTGGAAGTACATAGTCTAGTGGCCTCACTTTCAGGGTTGGGTTCTTGCTAACACCTGAAGGTTGTATTTGGTGTTACCTTCTTCTATTTAAGACCTGATTAAAAGATGAGCACAGTAGATTCCCCCCCCTCCCCCCCAGTCCTCCATTCTGAGTGAGTGAACTAAGATTGGGATTTCTAACGTCTAGTTTGATATTGAGGAACAGATTCTGGAAAGGGAGATGTATTAATGACCAGGCACTGCTAGAAAGGGTGTTATGGTCACACCTTTCCACCCCAGTGTCTGTGTGGCAACCTCAGTGCCTCTGTCTCTTGATCAGTAAGCAAATTTAGCAAGGAGCCTTTGCCACAGGCATGTGGTGGAGATGAGCTGATTTACTTTTTTAATGAAGTTATTACATGGAAAAATGCTGTAGATATGCAAAGTGCTGAATGAGATGAAGCAGGCAGATTATGCTTTGTTATACAGAGAAACTGCCATTTAAGGCAGTCAACTGATTCTGTGAAGTGCAGAGGAAAAACGTAGTCAACAATCCTGATTAGACAGTTAAATCTGAAAAATATTTGCAAATAAAACTTTTCTAAATTCTATTGCAGCTGCCTGAAAGGAATGACTTGTATTTTAGACCGAAAATGTTACTGTGAAGCATATTTTAAAAGTGAAGTAGCTATTTATTTTGGCAAGAAGGCTGTGGTAATTAGTCATGCTTTAGAAAAAAAAGTAACTTTAAAATCAGCACAAAAGTTTTATCTGTGAGAAGAAACTGAACTTTGTGGTACAGTTTAAATAGAATGGTAATGCATTGCTCAACTGCGTGGCGAAACATAATCAGTGGAGAATCTTTTGTTAGGGAACAGTCTAGCAGGAAATATATACAAATGCTGATGAGTTTTTGTTCAGCTTGCCCTCTTGAAATGCTTCACAGCACGTTTTTTCCCACTCAAAATGTTATATTGTATTTAATTTTCTCTTTGTTCCCTTGGGACAGACTTGTGACAGACCTCCCTGCTAACTACTTACTGCTTTTCCTCCTTCTCCTTCACTAGGGTTAGGGCTAAGTAGGCATTTGTCTTGTTCATCTGCAGAGCCAAAGGTTTTAAAACTCTATGTTCCCACTGTGCCATTGGGAAAGTGTTATGAGAGAAAACTATTTTGTAGTGATGTTGGTTCAGTACTGTCTTCGCACCTTTTACACCGCTCAGGTTTCTCATGGTCTACCGAAGATACTCTAAGGATCTTGTGCTAGATCCTGTTGGGGAGAGTAGTTAGTGATTTTGAGGGTTTGTTTTCTTGTGAACTTTGTTCAAAGTGTCATTAGCCAGGTGGAATTGCTGCTGCATTGCTGGACTGTAAATCTGTTACTTGCCTGATGAGTATTTTAGGGAAAAGGTTAAACTTATCAAATTTGGACCAGTGTATTGCAAGAATTGCATTCCACGTGCAGCGTGCTGAACTGTAAAGGTGATTCCCCACCCCAGGCAAAATGCAAAACAAAATGCAAAACAAAGACAATATATTCTCAAACCACAATAAGTGACAAAATTCTTTATGCTACAAAACTGACCATAGGATTTCTGCACAAATATTTGAATGCAAATAATCAATCTGTTAGATACTATTAAAAATACATACATAAACAACTGCTCTATAAAGTGCAGTCTTTGCAAGCAAAGCAAGAGAGCAGAGCAACATGCAGGAGCAGTATAATGCCTTTTAATTTTTAACCTGCATTTTCAGATAAAGTTTGTGTCATAAGTTGCTCTATTAACTATAGGCATTTTTGAATCTGTTACCAAATCTAATTGCTTTGAGCCCAGGAATAAAAGCTATAAAACTCTCAAGATACTTGGCCTATGAAAGAGGTGCCTTGAGCATCCTCAGGGTGCAGAGGGTTTGGACAGCACAGCCTCTGTGGTGGTTTGGCAGCTGCTGGATCCCCAGGAAGCACGAGCGCAGCCGGTAGGCAGTGGCCACGGGAGAAGTCTCCTGGCCAGCAGGTCCCGGAGATGAGGTGATAGAAGGAGCTGCCTGACGGGTCCGCTTGGTGTTGGCCTGGAAGTTGTGGGATGGGAAGGAACTGGAGGAACGCAGGAGATAAGGGTATAGGAAGGAGATGAACAGACTGTGGAACAGTGTTTGTTTGCAAGGAAAACCAGAGATACAGGAGCTGTGTGGGAAGAGTTTGGGGATGGCAACCTGTGCTCACTGGCAGGTGCCGCTGCCTTGCACCTTAGTGTTCCTTTGTACCCAAATGTTCTATCTCAGGCATGTCCAAATTTGCTTTAATTCCTGCCTGAGCAGCATGAAGCAGAAATGTCTTAAACATGCCTTTTCTTTCATATTTAGTGGAGCAAAGTACAGTTTGCTAGCACATACCACTTTGGGGCTGGAGAGTGCTGAGGACAATTTCAGGACCCATAACCTTACCATTGCAGGAAATGGTGAGTACATATGGTACCAATTTAAGGAAATGAAAAAAACAGTAACATTTTGCATTTCTTTCTTTTCTAAACGAAAGAGCTTAAAGAGATTATTTTTCTTGATACTTAATATAGAAAAACTTTAATAAAATATTCAACGGCTTTAAAACAAGCATCTGTACACAGCTGAATAAACTGTAAGTTGAGTAAAATTTCAAGTCCAGATGAAAATTTAATTCTTTTGGGGGTTTCTTCTGTCATTTGCATCTCAGCCTTGTGCGAGTTGTAGCTATATACAAATTATTTCCCTTTCCTCACAACCAAGGAAGGGTGTTGGAACGAGCAGCTTTTTCCTCTGTGGTCAGAAGGACAGAAGACAAGCAGCTTTGGATCAGTGAGGCTGTCTGAGGCCCAGGTGGAACACGGGGTCTGAGCTCATGTGCTCGTGACGTGTGTTGGTTGTGCACTCCAGCTCTGGGGTGGCAGCAGTCACCCTAGTCGCTAACATGGACTACAATTATGCTGCAACCCATGGTGATGTTTTAGGCAGCAGCAGTACAGTGGACTACAATTACGCTGCAACCCGTGGTGATGTTTTAGGCAGCAGCAGTACAGGTTTTGGCATTCTGTCCATTATTTTCTGAAGGGTGAGCCCCTCCTCTCAGCCACCCTCTCACTGGGAACTTAAGACGTGGGACTTTCACTGTTGCTTCTGGGAACTTTATCTTTTACTTGGGTAAACTTGACCTCAAAGGGAATTTCCTTCTTTACGTTTCACTAAGTCTGAACAAGTACAGATTTGGAGGCATTTGTTTCTTGAAGGGTTGGGTGAATAATTCTGAGTATCTTTGATATTTGTAAGCCTTTTTTTATTAGTACTTTATACTCAAGTTCCTTTTTCTGTCACTAATTTGCATAATTTAGTCTGGTGAGGAAGTACATGTCTGGATATTTTGGTTCATTACAAGCATTTCTAAACCACGACCAAAACCAGAGTTGCATCAATGGAACGTTGAATTACTTACTTCTGTTTAAAGCAGAGCCTATTCCATAGTGGAGCTCAGCATGGAGGGATATTCCAACTGGTTAGAAACTCTTTTTGGGATCCTAAATGCTCTTCTGGTGCTGAAGACAAAAGTAGATACAAATTCCAAGCCTTGAGGTGCAAGGGACAGTGAACTTACCTTTCAAAATGTTTCTAGCTGTGAAAGGAGATTTAGAGCTATATTTTATATAAGAACGACTCATTCTTGCAGAAAAATATTTCCATTTTCACTTGAAATTATTTTGGAATTTATTTTTTTTGTTAAAAAACACTTCCTGAAGATTAAAATTCAGTTTTAATCTAATACTATGGGATGAAATCTCTTTCTTAAAATGTGAGAAAATGCTTATTTACTTTCATGTCTTGGTGTAAAAATGTGTGTAGGAAGCTAAGCTATGTATTTAGGGCAAATGTTGAGAAATAACTAAGTGTTTGTCTATCTTTTGCCTGTTTTTTTTCCCCCAGAGGAATCCTCTTTTTGGCTCCCCCTGTATGGAAATATGTGCTGCCGTTTAGTGGCTCAACCCTCTTGCATGGCCAGGGATGTGATGGCAGGATTTTTAAATCAGCAGGTAAGAAGACTTTCCATGTGTTTACATGCTCTTCTGTTGATAGCTGTCACTAAGGGTCAGTTGTTAAAACATCTGCTTTGACCTGAAGTGGTGAGCATGCAGAAACGCCTCCTTGGCATGCTTGTCAACAAAATGATTTAGGCTGTTTGTTAAAAATAACTGTTGTTTCAGAGTTGGTTTAGGCTAGTGCTTGACAGCAGCAGTGCTAATAATCCCGTGGCTCTCATCCTTGCACACACCTCTTCTTGTGCTAGTACAAGAGCTCATCTCCCAGCATGGTGAGTCAGGCTGGTGAACCAAGCCAGGTTCGAACTCATCCCTTCAGAAGTGACGCATGTGAACTCACTTCACTTCTCTATTGTGGTTCATTGCACAACTAGGCATTGTTGGTGATAGCAGAGGGCCAGAGGGTCTGGGTCATTAGTCAGGAGTGCTGAATTACAGGCTTTAAACTGGTTGTGAAACTGTAATGCATTTATGAAAGCTGCTCAGAAAATTTGTTTGAGAAAGTAGAAATTCTAGATGAACGTCTTTGCTCGACATTGCTTGAATGTACCGTGTTTCCACAGTGAAATACTCTTTATTTCTCTTACTGTGCAATTACTATGGCTAATAAAGGTAGTTTCTTTCTCATAGCAGGCATCAGATCTGTATGAATCTGCAGATTCTGTACTGTGAGTATCACATGGCAATCAATCTGCAAAAACTAAAACATTAGAAGGCATTTAAAGTAGTACTAACATTTCAGAAATCAGTGACTGAGACGTTCTGCGACAGAAAGTTTTGGGAAGGAATTTGGTGTGGCTAATTTTTGATCACTCAAGGCTGATACACCTTGTCATATGGTCTTGTTTTATGTTTATGTTTGGCAATTTCTGATTACTTCTTCCCATTAGCAAATGGTTGGAGGCTTAACCAGCTGGAGGAGGCTGTATTGCATACTGAGAGGTGGCAAGCTCTTTTGTTACTACTCACCAGAAGAAATTGAGGCTAAACTGGAGCCAGCATTGATAGTTTCCATCAACAAGGTAAAATCAGTGGTTTGGGTTTTGGTTTTGGTTTTGTTTTTTTTTTTGCTTGGTTTTGTTTTTTTAAAAATTTGCTTTTTGTTGGGTTTTTTTTTGAGAGGGGGCGGTGTTGTTGCCTTGGTTTTGTTTTTTTAAAAATTCGTTTTTTGTTGGGGTTTTTTTTGAGAGGGGGCGGTGTTGTTGGTCTGATTTTTTTATTGTTTTGTTTTGGGTTTTGTTGTTATTTTGGGGGAGGTTCTTTTTGGTTTGAGTCACAGTCATTTGGGCTCTAGGCTGCTGGTGTGCAAAATGCTTTATAGGTAGCATGTGGGTGGGATATGCTTCAGTGAAATTTGCAATCATTGAATTTTTTTAGCAGGGACATTACATTTCACAGCTGTGGATGGAAGTTCTTTCGATTGCATTAGGCTTGTTAGCATAGAGGTAAAAAGGAGGATGTTTGTTTTATAGGACAAGTAATAACTTCTTGTATGACAGTTCCCTAAGACAGTCCTTGGAAATGTATTGCTTACAGCCTTCTAGCAATGCTCTGGTAGACTTTTATTCTCAGCCAGGTGGAATTTTGACAACAGCTTTTTTTGTTGGTGTGTGTTATTTGGCCACAGTCTTAATTAGGAGGGGAGCTGGAAAATTGCTCAAAAATATTTTAGTGCCTTAAAATAAGCTGCTTTTCTTAATGCTGGTTTTGTTCAGGGCACAATCACTTTGGAAATTCTATTCTCTAGGATGACATTATTGCTGTGTCTCACACCCTGATTGGAAAGTCTGAGTTTAAAAGTGGAAGTGTTTGGCTAAAGAAACAGCAAGTATTTAATCTGAAGTGATATTTAAGTGTTCAATTTAAGATTGTTATTGGAAGGACTTGCTTGGATGGTGAGCATTAGAGGGAATAGATGCTCTCAAAAACTGGTTTCGATGAAGCCAACAAGGGTTAATACCCCATAAGGATAGGCAGAGGAATTTATTGTTGTTTGCAATTGACATTGCTGGGTTAAATAGATGAATTTGGAACCTGTTAGGCACAGGTCGGTCTGGATTCTGTGCTGCACTGCAGGGAGCACTCAGTGCCAACAGTAATTCCAAGAGAAGCATAAAAAAACTTGTTCAGCCGCTGCCTCCTGCCAGGGCAGGCTCTGGGGCAGCTGGCTGAAGAGTTGGACACAGGAGCTGATGTGGGTTAAAGTCAGCTCATCTGGGGGCAGGAGGAGGGTTGGCTTCAACTGTGGTTCCCTTTCATAAATGCTCTTATCCAGTTCGTTACGTGGCCACAGAGATTCCTGTGTGGTACAAGAGAGGGGCTCAACAGCGGTCGGGAACACACAGGGACTTGGAGTAGTAAAGAACTGATTCTAGCAGCAGTATCAGCTTTTGGTGGCTCTAATGTCTCTGGAAAACACAACTGCATTCTTGCCCAGAATGAGACTGGAATATAATCCAAACATTTAAATGGGACAGAACAACGTGACCTGTTTGTGTTAGGACTTGTTCTTTTATGTGCTAAGGTTTAAATGGATTCCGTAATTTAAAATACCTTTTTTTTTCTAGCACTCTGTCTTTTAACAGAGCCATTTTTGCATCCAACTGTTTGTATATTTACATCAAATAAATATTTAGGCTGTGATACATATTTAAGCAGGTTTACTTGCTTACCTCTTCAGTCACTTTTAGTTCCACTGTTCAGACTCTGCCACAGTTCTGGGCCTTTCAGTTCAAGAGGGATATTGAGGTGCTGGAGCAGGTCCAGAGAAGAGCAACGAGGCTGGTGAAGGGACTGGAGCACAAGTGCCATGAGGAGAGGCTGAGGGAGCTGGGGGTGTTCAGCCTGGAGAAGAGGAGGCTCAGGGGAGACCTTCTCACCCTCTGCAACTCCCTGACAGGAGGTTGGAGTCAGGTGGGGGTTGGTCTCTTCTCCCAGGCAACCAGCAGCAGGACAAGAGGGCACAGACTCAAGCTCTGCCAGGGGAGGGTTAGGTTGGATATTAGGAAGAGATTTTTTCCAGAGAGAGTGCTCAGGCATTGGAATGTGCTGCCCAGGGAGGTGGTGGATTCACCATCCCTGGAGGTTTTTCAGATGAGACTGGATGTGGCACTTAGTGCCATGGTCCAGTAACCAGGGTAGGGTTGGACTTGATGATCTTGGAGGTCTTTTACAACCTGGTTGATTCTATAATTCTATGATAGTTCTGTTTTCCAGATGTTAGCAATATCAGTTAAGAAATGGTAAACTTTAGTAAACTACACAGTGACTAAATCCATTTTCTAAACTGTGACAAGAACATTTTTAATAACTCTCTCTCCGGCTGCCTTGGAGGTCTCTGTTTCATCTATATCCTAGGTTTACTTTCCTTTTAAAAACAACCATATTTTACTAAGATATTTTGCTCCTAAAAATTACCAATGCACTTAGAACCTAAATCCAGCTGAATAAGCTGAGGCTGTCCTTATGTTTGCAGACTATCCTTAAAGCTAACATGTGGCAGGTACATAAATCATGTATCTTACACCACTTCAGAGAAATGTCAGACTGCTGGGGTATCTGACTGAATCCTTCAACTGAAATTAAAACCAGAAAAAAGAAATTGCAATTTACAACCTGTTTGGATTCTCTACTACTTTAAACGGTTTCTCTTGAAAATCACTTAATGCCTGCAGATATTTTCTGACTCCTTTGTTATGAAGTTTCTCTTACGGATTCAGTGAAAGCAGACTAATCACATGGGCTTGTCTGCTGCATGTTGTTATAGAAACAGCAGTTTTGAAATGAAAGTTGAGATTGAGCACTAACTCTAGACATTCTAACTAAAGCCTCTGCTGGTTGCATGTGTGGCGTTTTCATTTGTAATGTGAAGCTGATCCTTTACATGTAATTGAAAGATACTTTCTGAAAGGTAATGAAATCATCTGGATTTATGAGAAACTCTCTGGAAAATATTCACACTGATAGCCTTATTTCCATTCCCTTTGAATAGAGACTTGAAGAAGCCATTAAGACCAGCAAAGTCATTACTCTAACTTCAGATGACTTCACTGCTACTTGTGTTGAGCAAGAATGGTTCTGCTCTTCCTATTATGCAAGTGTTGCAATTATTGTTCCAGCTAAATGTGATTATAACATATCATATTGCACAACTAAGTAGGAAAAAAGATATTATATTTTCTGTATCAAAGAAAATTTACTGGAATCCAATTTGAATAAATATTCCTTATGGGCCAGTTCCTGATTTTTTTTTCAAGTTTTCTTTAGTTTAAAATGAAAAATAAAGGCCTTGCCTACACCTGATAGCTTAGCAAATTGGAGCATGTGCCAGGAGTTTACCTCAGTTGCTCAGTGTTTGGAATACATCATCTGTTGTGCTCTGTTCATAGATTGGAAAACTTTTTGGTGTGCCATGGATGCCTGAAGCTTGAGGAATTCTGGGAAGTTGCTTCAAATTACTGTAGTCCCATGATTTCCTTCTTGGCATATTTGGCCTCTGCAGTCTTTGCCCTGGTGCCATGCAGTCAGCAGGCTCAGAGCTGTCTCCATGTTCGTGCCAGTTGCTGAGGTGAGCAGCTTGAGGAATGAGCATTGGTAGCCACGGGCTCAGGGTGCAAGGCTGGTTGCAAAACAGTGTGGCAGGAGTGAAAGGACAAAATCAAGCTGGCATTAACTTGAACAACAATTCTTGTTGGAACATCTGTCCTGGGCTTGCTCAGGTAGAGATATTCGTTGGAAAATGTCATGATGGTTGCAGCAGCATAATCTTGAGGAAATCATGTAGTATTCCTAGGGAACCAGGATGTTCGTCCTTGGGCTGGAGCAGAGGATTATCAACAAGAGTTCTTGACCATGTGAGCTTTTAAGGAGCCAGGAACATGAGCAATATTCTCTGTACGCATTGAGGAGCTCCAGCATGGGGAAATGAGATCAGCCCCGAAAATATCTATGTTCTCTGTAGTAAGGACTTTGTCCCACCAGTTGGCTTAGACAAACCTTCACACCTGTGACAACATTTTGGAAAAGCACAGACTGGTTAAGTGCTTCCAAATGTCTGGTCTCTCATATCCAATTGCTCAGTTTGGTCCTGCAGTTGCTTGGGAAAGAGATTGTGGCTGTGGGCAGGGCACACAGATAGAATACCCAGATCCCACCCACTGAACCTTGGAACACAGGTGCTCAAATCAAGCACTTTGGAAGCTGCTTTAAGGCTTCCATGAGTCTTCACAGAGCACAGCTGGTCAAATTTTGCCATCTCCTTCTCCATGTTTCAGCTGCTGCATTGCTCCGAGGAGAGCTAAAACAGCACAGCAATCCTAACAGTGCTTTTCCATGTTATTCATTGTACTTACCATCCTGTGGCCATGAGGATATTACATTAACAAAACTTCACAAAGCAATGAAGGGAGAAAATATTACCCAATAGAGTGAATTTGGTCTTCTGCATTGATGTGTTTGAAAGCCATAATTTGATACTTAACCTTACTTCCCTGCTTGCCTTAAAGAAACTCCATGGAAATAATTAACATTACAGCAGAAACCAGCACCAGGTTATGTTTTGTTTCCAGTGTTCTACTGTTATTTCTTGGGCCTTGGTTTGGTTCTTTTTTTTTTAATGTACTAAAAACATGAAGGAAGCTTGTTATATGTGATTGAATCTTAAAATACATGCACAGAACTGGATCTTGGGTTATTCAATATTTTTCCCAAGCGCTGCAATTTTCTTTGATGTCTTAGAATGATCTGTACTGCCAGTGCTCCTCAGTGTGTCAGGACTAGCTTAGCAGGACAGCGGTGCACTTCAGCAACAAAAAAGTTCTGTCTCTCTCTGCTTGTTTTTTTCCTTTTACCTTAAAAGATGAGCTTTCCAGAGAGAGATTATCAGGCAAAGAAATGTTATCATTTGAGGGGAAAAAAATAAAGTTTGTATTTACAAAAATCATATAATTTTTCCCTTTCAGTCTTTCCCCACCTTCAAGGAAATAATCTTTTCCACACATAACATAAAACTGGCTTCAGCTTCCCTGTAAGAGTCACTTGAGTTCAAGATTCAGCTGCTTTGCCTGTTCCAATCCACTAATTTTTCTGGTCTTTACAATTGCTGTAGCAGAGTTGGTTCAGTTGTCTTATAAGACTGTGAAAGATTGAGATTGTTACAACATGTAACTTAAAACATTTTTGTTGTTATTTTGGGAGGGATATTTTCATTTGTGTGGGTTTTTTCCAATAGTTTTCTGTTGTTTTGGGGGGGTTGTTGTTGAGTGGAACTGGACATGTAGTGTAATTTACCCAAGCTTGGTAGATTCATCAGCCCATTACTGCAATGGCCTCTTGCATCACTCCTGAAATATTCAAGCATCAGATATAGATTGTTGCTTGAGGAGTTATCTCCTTTGAATAATACCACAGTTGTGGGATAAAATCTGCAGCAAACATCATTAAATAAACTTGTGTGTATGGTATGCTTGAAGTTCTTACCTGTCAAATGTTAATCTATTTGATTTCATTTTTTTGCTGGTATCTATGGTTACCTGAGTTAATGGGATATAGAGCACTTATGGATGAATTACTTCATCTCTTATTTTTAGACAGAGGAATTTAAATGAGCATATCCATCAGATATGCTACAAGCAGCTGTTGATATTTCAAATGGTTATTTCAGTAATGCATTTAAGTTCTGGGGAATGTTCTGTAGTATAATTTTTGTTTTTCTGAATATCGGAACTAGGCTTATCCCCATGGGATCTCACGCGTAAACTTAATTTCTGTAGGTGTATGTTTAACATCTTCAGCAGATGTTTGACATTTGGTTGAATTGTGTAAAAGGGAACTGGTGGTTCTGTCCCCACTGTGATTTGACGAGTGCCCTGAGGTCACCTTTGTGGTTAGGTTCACTGTCCATACAGACAGGCGGTGTTTGAATAGAACCCTGGCCGTGGTTCTTGGCTTCTTTCAAATCCTGGGACACTCCCCATGCCAAGGACACCCTTGTGTGGCAGGAGGGCACTGCATGGCCCTAATGAATCATAGAATCAACCAGGTTGGAAAAGACCTCCAAGATCATCAAGTCCAACCCTACCATGATTGCTGGACCATAGCACTAAGTGCCACATCCAGTCTCATCTTCAGATGGTTTTTCAAAACCTCCAGGGATGGTGAATCCACCGCCTCCCTGGGCAGCTCATTCCAATGCCTGATTACTTTCTCTGGAACAAATCTCTTCCTCATATCCAACCTAACCCTCCCCTGGCAGAGCTTGAGTCTGTGCCCTCTTGTCCTGCTGCTGGTTGCCTGGGAGAAGAGACCAACCCCCACCTGACTCCAACCTCCTGTCAGGGAGTTGCAGAGGGTGAGAAGGTCTCCCCTGAGCCTCCTCTTCTCCAGGCTGAACACCCCCAGCTCCCTCAGCCTCTCCTCATGGCACTTGTGCTCCAGTCCCTTCACCAGCCTCGTTGCTCTTCTCTGGACCTGCTCCAGCACCTCAATATCCCTCCTGCACTGATGTGTATTAAGTATCCCCATGTCCTACCAAGCTCTGGGACCAGCCAGCTGGAGGGTGCTGGCTGATGCCCTGGCACCAAAACTTATTACACTGCTCTCCTGAGCATGCCAAAAGTCCTCTGAGGAGTATTGTTGTAATGGTCCATTGCTTGTTCAGTCAGGTCGAATTGTGTGCACAAAGATATTCCCAGAGTTTCTGCTTTACGTTACACTGCTCTCCTGGGCATGCCAAAAGTCCTCTGAGGAGTAGTGTTGTAATGGGCCATTGCTTGTTCAGTCAGGTTGAATTGTGTGCGCAAAGATATTCCCAGAGTTTCTGCTTTACTTTTCAAAGTAAAGTGATGTTAATTATTTCAATTTGCTTGTTATGTTGTGATGAGCAGCCAATGCTGACCAGTTGTGTTCTGGAATTTTTGTTTAGTTGTGTTTTTACCACACTTTTGCTCAAATCTCCCAGCATTTTCTACGTATATTATATATTCTTTCTATGTAGCTCTCCCTAATCAAGGTAAAAGTATCTATTTTGACATGGCAAATAGTCTTTTCTTTTCCCAACCAATATCTTATTGTTCTAGTAGAACTCTATGGGCAACTGGTACAAATGCCCCTTTAAGTTTGGACTGGATAAGTTTCTTTTTACATTTTCTGTTACTACCACATTAGCTCTGAATGTCTTGACTCACTAAGATGAACATAAACTGGATACAGTTTAGAATACATTGAGTAAGCAATGGCCCACAGAAGTGCAGTAGGAGACCTAAATAGTAGCTGTAGCAATGAGGCTGTCCAGCTGAATCCTTGGGAGGAAGTTATTTCAGGTTATCCACTCACTTGCTGTGGAGAAGAGTGTGCAGTGTGAGATGAGCTGGTGAAGGCAGAGGGAGGGGAAACACAGAAACTACATCCTGTGATTCACAACTAAACCGCAATAATTTTGCTCCGTTCCCTTCTTCTTTTGTACTACTTTTTTGTACTTTGTGCCATTTTAATAGTTTTAATGAGAAAACATTTTTATAAGCACTTCCTGACATTAATTCATTTTTTATTTTAAATTGGAAATTAATCTGGATTAGATACAAAGCCAAATGATGCCTTCTTTACACTGCCATTGGCTGTAAGGGGATGTCAGTGTGGGGCTGAAGCAAGAACACATTGCCACATTTGTCATTCCTAGGAAACCAGGATACGAGCTGTGGAGAAGGACTCCAAGAGAAGAACTAATAACTTCTCTGTTATCAATCCTATGTCTGGAGAGGCTGTGACGCAAGTTTTTGCTACTGACAGTAGGGATGAACTTCATCAGTGGATGGAGGCTTTCTGGCAGCACTTCTATGATCTGAGTAAGTAAGCAGGCCGTGCTGGCAGCGTGCTCGCCAAGTGGGGCGTTACGTAACATTATGCTGGCAGCGCGCTCGCCAAGTGGGGCGTTACGTAACATCAAAGGGATCTTTGAGCAGTTGGAATTGGAATTGCCTCATAAGCCTTTGTTTGCAACAATGAGAACAAAAATGTTCTCTGGGATAATATTGGGTGGTGGTCTAAGCCGTTGGAAGGCAAATATTTGATTAAACCAAAGTCCATGTGCTCAGTCTGGTTTTTTCAGGAAACCAGAGGCAGAATATGTCCATCAGTCTCAAAAGAACTTGCCTGCTTTTAGCAGTTTTCTAGATAAAGTCTAGGTTGGTTGTGAGAAAAAAGGATTTTTTTACTCTAAAGTGGTGAGACACTGGCACAGGTTGCCCGGGGATGTGGTGGCTGCCCCGACCCTGGCAGTGTTCAAGGCCAGGCTGGATGAGCCTTGAGCAACCTGATCTAGTGAGGAGGTGTCCCTGCCCAGGGCAGGGGTTGGGACTAGATGATCTGTAAGGTCCATTCCAACCCCTAAATTCTATGATTCTATAATTTTTTAAAGAACTGCTAAATTCTCACCATCTCTTCCTCCACTATAGTGGGAAGAGTCCAACTCTGCCTGGGCATCCTATCAGTGGTGTGTTACTTTGGTGATTCTGCAGCTATGAAACCCTAGTAGGGAAGCCTTAGTAGCAAGTGTTGAGGATGCTGGAATAATCTGGGGCCTTGGCTAGGATGCAGATTCAGCAAGCTCTTGCAAGTAGGCACATGTATATGGGATTGCCTTGCTCAGCAGTATTATGGATGAATTCAGTTGCAATTTGTTATAACAGGGATGAGTTGATTCTGTTAGTAATTCAAAAGTTTTAGTACCCCTTGTCACACAGGAATATGCTCACCCTGCCACACTCCAATCCAGTCGTGCAGATACACTCTGCCTACCTGGACCTGGACAAAGCTGTACCTGAGGCTTTGAAACAGAGGATAAATTGCTACCTTGATCCTTTGCAAACCTCTGGAATAACACTGATCTTACATGAAAGAAGGTCAGAAAACAGAACCAGGTCAATTAATGAAATGCCAATCTTGTGGCCACACTAATAAAATGAGTTAAGGTTGTGGAAACTAGGTATTGTAGTTGTATTTCTAGTCATTTCTAGCTCTGATTTTACAATGAGGAAAGGCACTATCAATTAAAGAAACACACCAAGCAAAAACTAGGGCATCCTCTTTAAATTAGCCGTAGAGTGAGGTAAAAGAGCTACTTATTCATTATAGATAGAATACCCATGGATTTTTTTGAGACATTTTCCTTAGATCCAGAAAAAATGGGTCACTTGGCATTTAAATGCCTTTTTTTCTTCCCTGGTTCTAAAATTCTCCTAAAATTAATGCACTCAGAAAACTTGGAATGATTGGTATGAACAAAGTAATTTTACTCTGTCTTGTTTTCCTTAAGGTCAAAATCTATTAATAGAGAAAGAGGTTTCCTTGTCTACTGAGGGATAAAAGGCAAGTTATCCTCTATTAAAGACAGAACGTTCCTTTGCCATAGCGTTGTGGCATAGTTGTATAACATCTAACTTGCAGAATATTGGAGGTTGTCCCTGGTAACTTCAGGAAGCTTCCAGAATCTTAAATTTATTTTTAGTGTTTTCTTGAATTTATTTTTTGTGTTTGGGGATTTGAAAGCAAATTCCTAGTGTAACAGTAACGCTGAGATGCTTCTATTACAGGTAGTAACTGATGACCTTTGTGCTAAGAGTCTGAGTGCAGAGGTGAACACACAAATCCATCCTGAGCACTCCTGCTAAACAAAAGTAAATGCTCACTGTTTAGCATTGCTTTGGTGATAGTTTCTGAACACAACCTAATAACTCCCATTTTTTTCCAAGCTGAAGTGTTTAAGTTGCAGTCATTGTTCTCTTTTTTCCTCTCAGGCCAGTGGAAACATTGTTGTGAGGTACTTATGAAAATTGAGATTATGTCACCACGGAAACCACCTTTGTTCTTGACAAAGGAAGCGACCTCCGTCTATCATGATATAAGTAAGTGGGATTTGCCTTTTCAAGTTGCAGGGTAACAGAAACAACACTGTATTCAGATGACTTCTGGTGTTGGTGTTGAAACACTGAGTTTTTCAAGGACAATTCAGACAACGAAGGAGCAACATAACTGCATACCGAGGAGCTCATATTAAATCTGAATTTGTAATAGCACAAATAATGAATACGTTTTTACACCTTGAGCTAAAAAATCTGCAATCTGAACTTTAGCTAGAGAGCCCTGAACACACTCAAAAAAGCTGTCACACTCATGGGAGGAGTAGTGTAAAGCTCAGGAGATGTAAAGGTGAAATAGTCCAGCCTGCAAACCAATCATGTCTTTAACAAGTTACGTGAAATTAATCCGCTGTTCTCAAAGCTATTTAAAGGCTTACCCAGCACAACTTTTACCTAATTGCTTGGTCTTTGGTAATGATGTTGAAAAATATGCTTGGAAAATCTATCTAGAGTGTATTCGAGACTTGTATTTTTGCAGTACAAAATGGTGTGCAGCAGGATTATTTTAATAGTTTCATTACAGAAATAATATTTACAGACTAGAAAAAGTAGGTCACTTTGTTTCAATGGATCCAAAGCAATATTGACTGAGAGACACTGCACAGCTCTAAATGCCTGGCTGCTTGCTGCTTGGCATGGGAACTTCTCACAGTGCCATGTGGGTCATTGAGTTACTGTGCATCACATCACTTTCTGAGAGAAAGTCTTATCTAAGCTATGAATGCAGAGCAGAAAGGAGGTAAATGAACCACACAGAAGTTGAAGCAGGTAACATGGTAGCATAATTCCACTTATAAGTATGTCAGTGAGAAGGAGAACACAAACTCTTTTTCACTCTTAATACACCGTGTTTCCCTGCTTATTTGTAGTCTTTGTAGTCCCCTACTCAGCACAGGTGAGGCTGTACCTCCTGTGTTCAGTTTTGGGCCCCTTATGAGCAGAAAGACACTGAAAGGGCAACAGAGCTGGGAAAGGGTCTGGAGCACAATTGCAATGAGGAGTGGCTGAGGGAGCTGGTGGGGCTCAGGCTGGAGAAGAGGAGGCTCCCTACAATTGCCTGAAAGGAGGTCGTAGCCAGGTGGGGGTTGGTCTCTTCTCCCAGCTAACAAGTGATAGGACAAGAGGAAATGGCCTGAAGTTGTAACAAGAGAGGTTTAGATTGGATAATAGGCAAAATTTCTTCACAGAAAGGGTTGTCAAATATTGGAACAGACTGCCCAGGGGAGTGGTGGATGCACCACTCTGGAAGAGTTTAAATGATGTGCAGACATGGCCCTTAGGGACATGGGTTAGTGGTGGACTTGGCAGTGCTGGGTTAACAGTTGGGCTTGATGATCTTTAAAGCTTTTTTCCAACCTAAACAATTTGGTGATTCTACAGGTAAAAACCTTGCGTTTAAAAACATGTTGAACATCACTAACATGTGGCCTGCAATAGAGAAGGCACTGCTGCTGTTTGAGGCTAGTATTGCTGCAGTATACATAGAAAGTAAGAGGAGTAAGAAATGGAGCAAGGCAGTCTTAAAGCACATAAAGAAAAATGATAGATGTAAGGATGTCCCATTTTCTGCAGGCTGGCAGCACAAGAAGTCGTAGACTTTTTCATGGGCCTCTCGTGAAAAGACATTTTCAAAGCACTATACAACCTATATACAACAAAATGTGTTGTCTAATACATACAGGTTTCCCAGCACTACATTATTTTTTCTACTTTACTTGGAAAGAAATATCAGTGCCTACCCTGTTGCCTCAATGCCAGCTGTCATGAAAACAGTTCCCTCCTGTCTCCTTAGCTCTCCCCTTGAAAACTTATATAATCTTTTCCATTTCATCCACTAATATTCTTAATAGTAGTCCAGAGTTCATGAGACTTAGTGCAGTTTTGTATTCTGAGTAGTAATAGCAAAATAGGTAGCAGTAAAATCATAGGCAGTGTTTTAATCTGAGTTAATTGCTGTCCCTTAAAATTACAGGCATTGATTCTCCAGTGAAATACGAGGGCTTAGCTGATATCATACAAAGGAAAATTGAAGAGAGTGACGGTGAGTTCCTTCTTGGCCAGCAAAAAGAGTCTGCATCTGCCCTATGGGCTTCACTCTTTGATGGATCTCATGAGATGACTGTTCAGAAAAATACACATCTGGGCCCAAGAGATACTACAAGTCCTAATGATAGCAGAGGGAAGAAAAGAAGAGCTCCACCTCCACCCGCCGATAAGTCACCGTACAGTGCAAAAGCATCGGTGAACACAGAGCAACTGGACAAGGAAAACCAGAGGAAGCCTGACCACACACCTGCTGGCAGTTCTTCCTTTGAGTCGGTGTTAGCTACAAAAATGCAGCAGCTGCAGGCACCCATGGCTGCTCCTCGCAGCATCGCTTCATGCAGAAAAAGCAGTTTTGCTGGCCAGGAGAATCCCATTTCTCTACTTAGCAATACCAAGTCTGAAACCAAACCAGTACCAACCCCTAGACAGAAAGGTATCACAGAAATGCTAGACCCTAGGTCTTGGTTGCAGCCATAATCACTGTAATTAGCTAGAAGAGTCCTTGGAAGTTAAACTTTCTCAGCCTTCTACTGTAACTCTTCAGTAGAAATAGGTTTTAGCGTATAAGTATTGAGGCTAAAGTGTTTTTCTGTTAGCCAGGGCATTACTGCTAGCTGTGGTCTCAGCTCTACTCATTAGATCTAAATAACTGCACTAGGACAGGGGGAGGTCTCCCTGTCTGCAATAATGGTGGGATTTCTGAAAACAATGGTTCGGTACTTTCCTCTTGAAAAAACAGCAGTGTTCAGGGTACCTCCACGTCCCCAGAGCAGGGATGTTACCAGTGCCTTCTACCAGTCCCTCAGCTTAGCCCATCCACAGCTCCTCAGACTAATTCAAGTGGGAACTCACACGCATTCAGCACAGATCTTGCAAAGCTGATTTTCTAGGTCTCCATGCTTGGCTTCAGCTAAAATATCCTTATCTCTCCCTCACTGTTTGGGAAACACTGCTTATATGGTAATCTGCTATGAAAAGGTATTGTACTGTTCTGAACAGCTCTGTAAACCTTCTGGATTTCTGCAGCAGTTCCATCAGGTCAGTGTGGGATTTTTCCAAGTTCTTACTGGTGCATGCACTGCCCAAATGGACCAGGGTCAGCTGTCTATAAGCAAGAATATGATCCATCACCACTGACTGCCTCATGGTATTTTGGACTACCATGAGCATTTTCTAGCAGAGCTGCATGTGAGCATATCCTCAGGATTTCAGTTGAGGATTGTTTTTCCTGACGAATGTGGCTCTGTAGCACGACTTCTCCTTTGTGGAGCCTCTCAGCTGTTCCTGGTAGGGAGCTGGTTTGTAAACACAGCAGTGCTGCTGGTAAACAAACAGGATTTTTTTTCACCACTTGTTCTTTCTCCAATAGCAGAGAATAAGCACTTCAGGTGAAAATATTGAAATTTGGTACTCTTCCATCATACCGTTCCACCATTTCTGTAAGAAGCTTGGGTTGTTAGGCCTCCTTGGCACCTGTGAAACATCTATTCACAAAAAAAAGCTGTGTTCTTCTGGATCTACAGCTGAAATACCCAACCCTTTGGTTGATGCATTTATCTCAGATGCTGGAACTTATCCAAGAGCAAAGGTCTGCTTGCAGTTCTCCCTCTAGAGCCTTGGTACTCAGCCCTATGTTGAGAGAGTCATATCAGCAACTGTATACACACAGTTCATTAATTATTAGGTTTTTTCTAAAGTGTGGATGGCTTTGGGAGCTTTACCATTTCTCCAGAAGATAGTCGAGGCATGGTTGCTTGGTTTGTTTTATCTATTTTTTTGCCTTCTGCTAAGCTCTTGGCTGCACAGCTAGAAAGGTATCCGCCCAATTCCCTCAGCAGTTCGTTGGCTACTTGGGATGGAGCTTGAGAGACAGGTTTCATTTACAAATCCTTCCGCCGGATTAGAGCCTTTTGTTTCTGGAATGTCCTTGTTCATTCCTCGTTTAATCACATTCCATTTTCCCTCTGAACCAACTATAATCATTCCTACAATAAATCATGCTGTTACTTAAGTGGATGGTTTGTGAATGGTTTATAAATAGGGACAGAAAAGCTGAAGAATAACTACATGATTATGTAAATCAGACAGTCAGCTAAGTGGACTGTACAACTCTGAGCAAGAAACAGGAAAAATAAACAGGGGGGGAAAAGCATAATTTCCAAAATGCAGCTGCAGTTTATTCGGCTTTAAATCTAGCCTTAAATGTTTCTGTGCTCTGGAAGAAAAAATACCTTTTTTCCTGGTAACTGCCTTCCATTTAGTGGTTACATTTTAAAATAAATGTCATAAATATCTAAGGCAAAAAGGCACCGTAATGAGGATTTATTTTTGAATTCAACAGGCCATGGAATTTCAAGGAGCAGTTGCTCTGTTAAATTCAGTGGCTTTGTTTTGAACTGAACATACATATTTTAGCAAGGCATTTAATATTAATTTGAAGTCTTCAAGTGATGAGAATTCACTCATAGCTCCTGTTGCAATAGTTAATTACCCCAGGTACGTTTTTCACTTGATTTTCTATTTGCATTTCTAGCTCCACCTTAAGTTATTTTGGTCTTTTTATGCATTTGATTGCTTATATTGATCTCTGTAGTATCAGCTTTTCTAATTGCTTGTGTGTAGTTATAAATCATGATTATGTCCCTTTTAACCTTTTCTCTGATGAGATGTACTGAATTCCTTAACTTTCCTATGGCAATGAATGTTATCCCAGTCTAATGAATCTTCATGTTCTTCTCTGAACTCCTCATGTATTGCAATATTTTTGAGGGTGACATCTGAGTTAGATGCCACATGTCAATAGTGATCCATCAGGACTGTATGGAGGCATAACGTGATCCTCTTACTCTGATGAATATCTCCCTCTCCTCTTTCCTCAGAAATTGCATTACCTTTTTTTTTTTTTTGTGGAAGCATTAACTTGGATGCTAACTTTTATGGCTCAAGTTCTCTTCAGAGTCTTTCTCATAATGCAGTACATCATCCTCTGATTATCCTACCTTGTATTTTCTTACACTGTATTTTACCAGCATTGGGATCTTGCTCATGAAGTGATCCAGATTGCTCTGTGTGAGTGACCTGTCCTCATTCTTTACTCCTCCAGCAGTCTACATGTACTTTGCAAATTTATTGCAAGTGATTTTTACAGTTTCTTCCAGTTCATTGATTTTTAAAATTGAATGCAAGGCAAGGTTTGTAGAGAGAGGTGATAAGTTTTTATTACACCAGTGACATGGGACGGGGGGGTGGGGAAAAAGCAAACAGGTCATTCTGCTCCTTTTATCCAAGAGCCCTTAAAAAGCTGAGTAAGATGGAAAACAGCTATACTTCTTGCTGAATCCCTATTAGTACTGTATTTTGATGTTAGTTTTTTGTCTTTGGCATAACATTCTATATTGATTTGATCTAGGACTGATATTTCAAAGAAAATTACATGTTCACCTGTGGGTGACTTAGGGTTCTTGTGGGCAACTACTCACACAGGTGTCTTGGCAAACTGAGCTGACTATATCAAAGAGTAAGATGCAACCTGTTGTTCAAGACCTGTTCTCTGTGAAGATGTGTTAATTGATACGTTCTTAAATTAGTCTCCTGTGGGCTAGTCTGTGTTGATACATTCTTAAATTAGTCTCCTGTGGGCTAGTCCATGATATTACTGTGATCACCACTAAGCAAACTGGACCCTGATCCTCCTGCTCCAGAGCTATATAATCCCTGTTATGAAACAACAGTGGACTTGAAGTTTTAGTATTGATTGTTACTGATTTAGTCTGTTTTGGTTTCCCTTCTATATTGCCGTTATTGCCTTTGCATCTTCTGGTAAGCAGGTTGAGTTAACTAATAAACCTGCAGGCTACCAGCAAATGCTGCCTTAGCTATAAAATAATTTGTGGGAAACACACTTGTAAGTTTTGCTTTTGTCTATGCAAGAGAATATAAACAATTTTAGGAGTGTAATCAGAAGATATATCTGTGAGAAAAACTGGCATTTTTGGTTTTTCCACATAGTGACAAATTGTAATACTTTATTACTGGTACTGGTCCCTTATCTTTGCATAGGCTTCTTCAGAAATGGGAACTATTCCTTTGGGGTTTTCCCCCTCCAAGTTTTCCTGACTGTAATGAGAATGAATATTCAAAGCAGGAATTAAGACCAGTAAATTGCTTGTGCTGAAGCCCTCTGACAGGAGGCAGCCAGTGCCATCGCAGTGTGGTGCAGAAGTGATTTAGGTGTGGCACTGATTCGGGGCCCGGGCTGTGTGGCTTGGAGGGTGATGGTCCCTGAAGCCCATGCGTGGGGCTGGCGAGCTGTTTGCTTTAGTTCTTGGAAGTGGAGGTGAGGGGAGTCAGGAGCCAGAAGGTGCCTCTTCCTTATGGGAACTGCTGCTTCTGGGCGGTGAAAGAGGAAGTAACCTTTGAACCTTCTTATCAGTTGCATTTGATCATGAGGGTGCTTCAGTTGCATGTCTCAAAATATCAGTGATCGAAACCCAAAGTCATTTAATTAGCGTCTCTCAACGATGCTGAAATAGGAAATATTTCACAAAGGAGCAGGTGACATTAGCCAGTCTTCTGCTGGGACAAGGCTTGGAGGACAGTAGAAGGCCTGTGTCTTCTCCCAGCCCTTGCTTCCCACTCCCCCATGTTCGCATTTGTGTCGGTAAGTTGGAGTGCTGCCGCCTGGCAGGGAAGTGTGCGGAAAAAATGGGATTTGTTGGGAGACTCTGCACCCAGAATGAACAGCTCAAGTGACCCATTGCAGCACAGGGAAGGCACTGGTGGCATCTAGGCAACTCCACACGTGATTAGGTGCTTTTCTGAGGAACAAGTTGTGCCTGCTTTCAAAACTGCACCTGCTTGTTCACTGCTGGAATGAATTTATGCTGCTTAAAAACAGAATTACGTGGTGACATTGCCGTCTTGAAGTCAGGCAGAGACAAGAGTTAGTCTGAGCTATTCTATTAGGAAGTACAGCTTGAAAGCAATTGCTAGTCCAAACTTGAACCTAAATTTCACAGAACATGGACAACTTTTGAAATATTGACTGAGCAAAGACTTAATTTACTAACTTTTTTGATTTACCTAGTGTCTTCAGCTGTTTACTTGGCCTTGGAATGTAGATGGTACCTTTTGTGATTTCAAAGGCATTAGCCTTTGAATAGAATGTTTACATTCTTACTAGTATTGTGATACATTTTTTTTCCCTATGGTCATAAAGCTAATAGCTATTTTATGGTGGTATGTACATATTTGGAAATACTGTCCTAGTGTTCAGAGTTGTTTTGTAATTAAAGCAGATTGTCTTAATAGAAAAGTGCAGATTTGGACACTAATGTATTGTGAAATGTTAGAACAGAACCTCTTTTTGCGGCTAACATACTGTATTTCTGTTAAAATATGCAAGTGAAATTAAAAATGTTTCTAGAATAAAAAGGTTTTGGTGCCATTTTCTTCAATCTGGAGCTCTGTTACGCCTT